GCCTTGAGCTTGGCTTGGTGTGCGGCATGGCCTAGCCCAAGGCCCGACCCATAGACCAGCCTGACCCACGGCACGGCATGAGCCCGTGTAGGCTCGAGCCATGGGTCATGCCAAACCAACCCCCTTAGAGGAGGGAGGCACAACCTGGGACGCCTTGTGGGCCAACACAGCATGACTCGCACTTTGTGCAAGCCATATGCAGATCGTGTCGTGCCGACCCAGCACGACCCAATTTACACCTCTACTTGAACCCGCCCAATACTAGGGACGAGGCAGGGGAATTCGAAGATTCTCCATCCTTAATGAGGAGTGGGGTGCCTTGCCCCTAAACTCGCCCGACATTGAGGAGTGGTTACCTTGCCCTGAACCCGCGTGACACTGGGGACAGGGCAGGGATGGGGTAGAGTGTCTTGACTATGGGGCAGGGAAAGGGATGGGGTGCCCTACCCTGAACCCATCACGTCATCATTCCTATATAATTGTTAATCATTAGTGGAATTAATAAAAATGTTAGCTTTTATAATTATTTTTATTTATTTAAAATTAATCAAAATTTCATTTAAAAATAATAAAAGAATAAAAATTATTAAAATTACTACAAATTATTAATAAAACTAAATTTATTAAAAAATATTTATTCATATTCAATTAATAATAATTATTTTTTAAAAATCAACATTAAATAAAAAATAAAATTATTAATTTCATATTTTCAATGCATGACACAGCTCTCTACTAGTAATTAATTTAGAACCTGACTTAATTAGGGTGGCAATGCTGTCTTCAACCAATGCACCCACGTGCCCAAAGGTCTTCATTGGCCTTCTTGGGCTGGCAGAAAAGTATAGTCGATCGAGCTATAGCCTATATGTGCCCATCCTCTCTCTGGGTCTCAGAGTATTTATTGCAGTGTTTTGATGGAGATATTGATACTAATCTACATTGATGGCATACATTTTGTTTGCATCGCTTACAAATTAATCCTTGAGTAGAGCTGATTCTTTGCCAAAACTCAGGCGATTAATTGATCTCACATGACGCTATCAGGAATTCTTCATTAATGGTGCATGCTATGAGGAATTCTTCATGGGGGTGCTTTTTACATGTGTATATCGAGTCGGGCCGGGTCGGGTTAGGGTGTGGGTATGTGTCCGTGTATGTGCATTCAATAGTTTCTTCTTCTCTGTCATTCTAAACATCAATTCTTTATGGTTCGTGGAGGTCTGGTAAGTGAGTGTATGTCTATCAATGGCTTGTGGGTTGTTTTATCTTGACGACCAATTTGCGATCACCCAGTTGCACCATAGGGGGCAAATACGATTTTAAGGAGACTGACCAAATGGCACGACTCAACCCTTCTCTCTACAACTTCTCCATTCCGCAATTCTGCAACATCACACTCCTACAAGTTTCGGTTTGAAAAGCAATTACCAATAAGTTTCATTTTGCCTTCTTTATTATTTTCTAATACATCTACGACATTTCTATTATTTTTATCAATAGTTTCTTCCCAATATAATTAGCATGGTGCTGTGGTGTTTCAAGTTTAAAAGGGTTAGGAATAGATCAAAAAGACGTAGATAAATAATAAAGAGTGATTTAAGCACTAATAATTTAACATTGGATATAGCATTAATTAAAACGAATTGACAAAAAGCCTATATGGTTGTTTCCAAATTTTCTTTGCAAAAATATAACTTCTTGTTTATCACTCAAACTAAAACAACATTTACATGACATCCCAACACTTGGTTTTGGCTAAATAGATCTTGCCTTAACCTAGATTATAACATTAGAAATATATATTATATGTATTTGCATTGAACATATATTTGCACTTTTCCCAAATGGAGCCTAACGTGTTTTTGACTCATAACAAAATAACATAATGCACAATAATTTAAGGTACATGAATTCACATAAGACAACTAAAGTGGAAACGCCCATGTTAGCACAGTTGCACACTAGGTGCCACATAAAACAACCAAAATGAAATCACACCCCTGTAAGAGTACCAGAAAGACATTTCCCCAACACCCCAAATGGTATTACAAACGTTTGAAGTTATACCTGCCCCACCAAATATGATTTTGGTATAACTCTCATGTCAAAATGCCTACATGGTGCTTATATATGGACCATGATTTTTAAAAATGACCCGGAGACCGAATTGGTCAGGGGTCCAGTTATCGGGTCGAACGGTTGATCCGTTTTGATAAAAAATATAAAAATAAAAAATGGTCAAAACCATTCGAATGGTTCAAACAGTTAATCACCCGGGTCAATAGTTTCCTAATCAAAATCAACAGTTTTAGGCAAATTTTCAGTTTTGGCGAAAACCAAAATCAATCACCTGACCGGTTCCTGATTTTTCCAGTCCCATTTTGAAAACCATGATATGGACTCTAAACAAGAACACGAGATTACAGTTCCAAATACCCTGAATACAGTTGAAAGTTGAAACCACTATAAACTCAAGCCCAAATCTCCTGCACTTTAACCTACACTTCAATTTAGTCTGCAACGGGTAGTGCCCGGAATTCAATTGCTGGTCCCTTGGTTGTATATATACTGACATGTGGGACCTAAGAGTACAAAACACTGTTCACTCGTGATTGATTACATGACAAGTGATACACATCCAAACAAGCAGCAGATCTTGAATGCCATTGAGATCAGATTAGCTGAATTTGATAGATGTTTTACTGGATGAGGGACTGATCAGTTTTGCTCCATACCATCCAAAAATGGAAGTGAAAGAAGAATGCTTCTGAGACACATGCACTTTATGACTGGTGTGGAGTAAAATAATTGGTCCCACGTACAGCTAGTAAAACAGCTACCAAATTCAGTTAATTCTTTCTCATTTGTACAAGTTTTTACAGGCATGTAAGGAGACACCAGTCACAAACTGAATGGAAGTGGAGGAACAAGAGATCCAAAGTCATCCTCAAAGTCCTTGAGGCTTAAACTAGTACTTTAAGCCTAAATTGCAATAGAAGGCACAAAATATATTGAAATTTAATTTGAAAATCGTTTACACCCCATTTCTATACGAATGGAACCAAAAAGGAATCTGTTGTTGCCGGATACGGAGCTAAGGGCAATAATGTAATTTCTAGTGTCTAAGGCCGACAGGTTCAATCTGCTGAAAGCAAGAAGATGTCAGAGGCCACGGGAGTCACCTCAGGGGCGAAGGCTCCAACGGTCAAATTAGCCAAAAGCTGTGAGGGGTCGAACCAAATAAGAGAGGAAACTTGGAGCTTAATTTTGTGTGTGTTTGACTCAATGTAAGAGCCCTCTTTTATAGCCACAATTTCCTCAGAAGAAGGGCAGTTGAGAGCAGGTGGCAGCCGTTGATAGTAATTAATGATGAATGGCCAGAATGCATCCAACCAATACTATGTGTCAAGATCTACAGGTAGGCCAAATATCTCTACACTAGGATCACTTAATGCCTCAAGGGGTGTTCATCAACGTATATGATTTTATCCAAAACAAAAACAACCATCATATCAGCAAAAATATGATTTTATGATTTTTGCTAACATTAGAAAAGCAAAACTATACGTATTGACAAAGACCTCCTTAATTGAAAATCAATGTATTTTGACATTACATGGAAAAAAACCCGAATTTTATTAACGTGAATATTTATTTTTAAGAAGATTAAATTTTCCATCTACTTCCCCAAGACCCAAGTAGTGAAAATCCATGTGAGTGGTCATTCAACCTATTGAACTATTCATATGGACAAAGTATATTGTATACCCAAGGAAAGACATTTTCGTACCCTTGAAATTTGGGAGGGGGAAGATTGCTAAAGAGGGGAATGTCTCAGAAACCAATGTTTTCAACCTGTCGTTGACCCAGCTGGTCGAATCGTTATTCTACCATGATTCTAAGTCTGGTTTAATTAAGACTTGTCAGACGGTCAAAATTGTTGGCTTGGCGAAGAATCGTTCGACTTGGCCGGTTCAACCACTGACCCGTTCAACCCGGTCACCAAGTCACGGGTTATACACTCAATGTATGCAAACTTTTAGAGGCCATAACTTTACTGATGTCCGATTGGAATTTTTTTTTTTTTTTGAGATTTTGGGTAACTTTTAGAGATCTATGCATTCCAAGGCACCATAGGCGCCTTGCTCTGCTATTTTCACACAAAAAAAAATCCTTTTTGGCCATAAATTTAATATTTTATAAATAAAAAATTTTAAAAATGAATTTAAAAATACATATAACATATCTAAAACCTATTTATACATCATTTATTAATAATATATATATATATATATATATATATATATATATATGTGTGTGTATGATAACATAAAACGGCTTAAACCAATCGACCTGGCCGGTTGAACCAATGACCCGCGACCCGGGAGGCAAAAGGAACCGGGAAATAGGAAAAAAGGAACAATCAAGTGTCCCTTTTGTATTGTCCTTTTTTCCAGTAGCATTGATGAAAAGGCTCACAGAGGCCAGAGCAACACTAATAGTTCCAACTTCCATCCATACATCTGATCTGATGAAGAGAGAGTCACATGGGGTCCAGAGAGCGATTTTCTTGTCTTTTTTTTTTTTGTTTTTGATGACTAAGATATCCATTACTTTGAGATCTGATCAAAGTCACCAAACGATATTGGCCTGCTTGCGCTCATGTGACACGGCATAGAGCAAAACAGCAAATATAAATTGGAAAATAACTCGCTCAACACCTGGAAAACATATAAATCGTCCACCTACATGTTCAATTTCTGATTTACCAAAAGAAAAAAAAAAAAAAAAAAACTACACGTTCATTGCACATTCCCCCACTAACTTAGGTGGTATTCACCAATAGGGTTATATTTTATTTCTTAGAAGCAGTTTTCTCAAGAAAACTGGCCCCACATAATGCATTTTCACTATTTCCATAACCCGAACACAGTGAAAACTCTCTTTGTTATTTGTTATATTTGCAGTAGGTCCCACATGATTACATCAGCAAGAAGTAAGCAAAACCCACTGAGATAGAAATACGTTTTCAACCTGGTTAGAAGTTAGATCAACCAACAGAAAATCCTTACAAAGAGAAACAGCTTAATTCATCCAAACGAATTTTCTGAAAATTGTAGAAATACACTTGGAAACCATTCCAAAAATCTTCGCTTCTGATTCTACTCACGGTTCTGCTAATTAGAAAATCACAAATACATTGACGCATGCTATAAAATGTGCCCTCCTATAAAATCAACCTCGTAGAATGGTAATCCTCTTTCCTGCTGCACATTATCAAGCAAATAAGGAATGCCAGAAGGTACTCGGGGATTCAGTAACCCAGAGTCAAAAAAGAAAGGAACAAGCCATCATTATTGCAGTTCACTGATCATGGGTGAAGAGCTCCTAAGCAGCAACTGCTACTTTTTCTGGCTTCTTAGCCGCTGCCATTTCTGGCTTCTCGATTCCTTGGATATCAGTAATTCTCAGCTTGGTCAGCTCCTGAGAAGAATGTAGAAAAGCTACATGGTAAGAACAACAAATCAACCAACTGGATGACAGCAGATTCACTGTGGTGGGTTAATCTTCAACATACCTGGCGGTGCCCCTTAGTTCGTCGGTAGTTCTTCCTTCTCTTTTTCTTAAATATAATAACCTTGGCATCTAATGCCTGAAAGAAAAGCAAGAGAAATTTCAGAAGCACGATCAGATATAAACTGTAGAACTTATGCCACAGTTCACACATCAAGGACTTCCACGTCAAAAATATAAAAGCATGACCAGATATAAAACCAATGACAAATCCAATTCTTGAGGAGAACAGTTTATACTTCTTACCAATAACAGTCACGAGGAAGAAGCACGAAAATACAACACTGAATAACTTTGAGCAACCTTATTACAAGGATGATTATTATCTTCTACACAAATGAAACCAAGAACAAGTACAAGTAACTCTATATTTCAAGAATTATTAGATCTTCTACACTATTAGATGAGCCAAATCCTTTAAAGAATTCCGATGTCACAAATACCGGAAGGGGACTCGAGCAATATTACTTTTGATTGTCGTCTGGGATGAGCAAAATTGATGTCTCAATTTTTTTTTTTTTTTTGAGCATATGCTTCAAGGCATGACCAATCCAACCGAACTTGAACAGTGTCATCTTGCTTCACCATCAATAGGTGACTCCAAGGATTAAAATTTTGCAACGTATTAGGGCGTATCAGCTGATACGTATTGTATCGGTTACCCTCCAATACTCCCCTACAGTAAGTGTTTCGGGGTCTGACCTGTTTCAGGGGGCAAATGGGCCTTATACTGACCCCCTGAACAGGTTTGGAAGAAAAAAAAAAAAAGTAAAAAACGGTCAAAGATACAGGTCAATACGCCCCAATAAATTGGGTGGCACCCGGATATACCATGATCCGGCATAGCAGCCTGTATCGATATTTAGAACCTTGGTTGACTCCTCTAGTTGCATCTCTTTTTCATGATCATGAAACAACCAATGAATTTTATTAAATGAAATATATTTGAAGCACTATATAATAGACTTCTCTGAATGAGCAACAACAGTCATTTCGTCCTACCACCCTCATATTCTCATATAAGCGCCTATCCAGGAAGGGTAGGAAGACAATACAACTCAAGCTGATTTTCACCATTCCCAACCAAAAGAATCAGTTAATTATTTGTTGATCCTCTAATCCATTTGAATGGGGTCTTCAGTGAGCTAGTTATCAATTCATACTCTCAAGTTGCACATTTAGCCTTAATATTTCACAGGACTGGTCTCTAAGTTAGTCTCGATAAATGACCCAAGCATATAAATCTGCATTACAAGTCATAGGGAAAAAGAAATAGATTGTGTCTCTTACATGCTCTTCAACAACTGCATGAACAGCCGCATCTGACAATGTGGGCCTTCCTATGATAGTCTGAGTTTTTGATCCAAGCATGAGAACCCTGTTCAAAATCAACTGCAAGAGAAAATTGTGTCAGCAAAAAATGAACCGCAATCAAGTTTATGTCAAATCTTGAAAGGTGATCAGCAACAGAAGTGAATAAGATGATGTGATGCAATTTCTCCAGACAATACATTTGACAATGTTGCCTTGGAAACCCAGGGCCCTCGGGGGTGGGAGGAGTTGTTAGAAACCATGAGGTCAGTATCATTTTAAGTTTCTCAGGCCCGGTGGGACAAGGAAATTCCTCTAGAGCTGAACTTTTGGCCTTGGTTCAGGGATTAAAGCTGTTGGTTAGGCAAGATCTAAGGAATGTGGAAGTTGAAGGTGACTGTAAAATGGTTATAGGTTGGATGACAAAGCAAAACCAAACTCCTTGGAAGTCCAGATCTTTAGTCAGAATGGCTCAAGCTCTAGGTGATGGCTTGAACACCTCATTCAAGTGGGTGCCTAGGAATGCCAATTTTTTTGGCTGATTCTCTGGCTAAGGCTGTGGTTGGGAAGTCTAGTTTAGATTAGAGATGCCCAGGACTGGCTACTAATGTATAATTTGTAACCAGTGCTCTTCTTTGTTGTATTTCATTTTCTCTGTTGTCAGATGTGGATGGCCTCTTAGGAGGCCCAGCTTTGTATGCTTCTTTGGCTGTACTTTTGTGTGCAGCTTGTTTTTAATGAATTTTCTCCATGTTGCTTATCAAAAAAAAAAAAATGTTGCCATGTATGCCTTCATTAACAAAGGGACTACATCAATAAGGCTTTTTTTTTGAGAAAGTAAAAAATTCATTAACTACAAAAATTGCTTCCTTAAATAAGGCCGAGGAAAATACTTAATGTAACAGTAAAGAAGCCATCATCAGAAGCAGAAAGGGATATGAAAGGTAAGGCCTTTCCAATCAGGAAAACACTTGGAAAATAAAGGACCCATAGAGTTTCTAATTGTGTTATAACCAATTCGGAACAAAGGCTGTCAACAGACTCCAAAACTCTGGTATCTGATTCAACCCTGAATCCAATTATCCTGGATTTGGATGTCAGAAGTTGCATCCAATTAATGATCAGACTGGATGCAGATTTAACCCCATCCGATCCAATTAAAATCCAAGTCCAAGAAAAATATTAGTTTATATATATGTAGTATAATTAGTTTATATGTAGTATAATTAAGTTATATATATGTAATTATGTTTGTATGTGTGTGCATGTGTGTGTCTACACAAACACAAATATAAGGAGTTTATAACTAATAAATTTAATATTTTATATTTACGTACATTTTTTGTGCAAGTTAAAAATAATTAGTCTTTTTATGAATAACAGAAATTGAATTATTACATTAATAAAGAGAGAGTACAAAGGCGATAAAATAATTAGTATATTTAAAAAAAAAAAAAAACTTATAAAATTTTTTTGTCACTTTAAACATAATAAGTCTGATGCAGATTAATTCTTAATCTGATCCAAATCCAACATGTCAAATTTCAGGTTGGATTCGAATCCATGGGTTTGCTGATCAGATTGGATCCAGATGTAGCTGGATCCAATTCGAATCCGATCTGTCTACAGCACTATTTGTAACTGTCCCTTCAAAAATTTGGCTTGCACACTCAAGATTCATGAGAAGAAATACAACAACAGTGTCAATTTTCCATCCAAGGTAAGGACAAGGTTCTTGATGAAGCTTTCATAAAATAGGTTCATTTAGGTGGAAGTGGTATTTGTCCCAATGTACCGTCTCATTGGATCAGCTAGCCCAGAATCCATTTAGCTTTTATTTGGCATATGCAACAAGGTAGTAAGTCAAGTAAACCTGTCTAAATCTGCAGCAACCATCTCTCCTTAGCATCTTAGTAAACTAGTGCCTTGTACACTAATACTAACCTACTTGCCTGCAGCAACAATAACTAAAAGGGAAGATGTATTCTACAGGCATGGCAATCATTATATTTTTTATCAATAACAGAAATCATTATATTAAAGGACAATCATTATACTTCTCTATTCTATACTTAGTTTAAGGGACTCTCACTAGGGCTTCTCATAAAAAACCGAAAAACTGGTTAACAAAACCGATTGGTGTATACATATACATACATATATATATATATAATAAACTGCTTGTAATATATTATATATTTATATATTTATTTATAATATATATTATAAATATAAAAAACCAAAGGACCAAACTGGTCAAAAACCAAAACCAATCAACTGGTAGGTTCTTTAGGGATTTTCAAAAACCTATAGTACCAGTTCAGTTTCAAAAAATAGCCCACGGTTTGGTTAACCAAACCGTGAGCACCCCTAAGTGTCACCCTCTTTTTTAGTATTATAATGCATCAATTTACCTTTCAAAAAAATTATCCCTTTACAACCAAAAAACAAAAACTGCAGCCCAGATAAAAGAGGCTCCTTTCTTTTGATAAATGGTATAAAATTTGTATTACTGAAAAAAAAGAGGGGCAAGGTACCCCAATAATCATATACAGGCTGCTAAATAGCTGAGAAAAAAAACCATTTCAGCTCTATACATAAATCCACAAAAACTATAAAAAAATGATATTTATACACTGATATAAAAGTGTGGAGGACATCAGCAAAAATCTTCCGGACCCCCATCCACCTAATAAGAGACCATTCTACATCTCTAATCACCACTTCAATGGGAGAGGACTTCACTTCAAAAATCCTACTGCTCCTCTCTTTCCACATAGTCCAGCACAAAGCAAGGGGGAGGGACTTCCAGAAAATTCCTTTAACTGAAAAACAGGCTGATTCCAAGAGGCTAACAAAGATGGCATGTCAGGGAGTGTCACCCAGAATCTCCCAAACAGAACCAAAAAATGAGACCAGATTTGTTGGGAGAAAGCAGAATGAATAGGGAGATGAGAAACCGATTCCTGAAACATGCTACAGAAACAGCAAGAATTCTCCACATGCACAAAGAAAGAAAGTGACCATGGTATCTGGTGGGTATAAGTCCCCACATGATCAAAGCCCAAGGAGTAGGCTGAGCTGCTGGACCTGTGAGAGCCTTGTGGCCAGGTTTGCAAAAAAAAACAACCTAAACTGTCACCAATCCATATCCTTCCATCACTAGCTTTTAGGTTGAAATCAAAATTGTGGAATCTCTCCAGTAGCAATCCAAGATTATCCATCTCCCGGTCATTCAAATTGCATCTGAAGGTGGGACTCCAAACTATGCTCGAATCCATCCTTTCAAAACAGTCTTGGACCAGGGCGTCCTTCCAGAATCTCAGTTTGGAAGGAGTACAAATGCAAATATGTAGAGTGCAAAATCTTGTATTTTCTATTATTTTGTATGTATTTACACTGTACATATTTGTATTTGTACTCCTTCCAAACTAAGCCAGAAGAGAGTTCTATCACCCTGACCCGGTTTCAGCTTAGTGAAGGTTTCAAAATCTGATTTCACTCTCATGATACCCTTCCAAACACTACAACCATAAGATTAGTTTGGGGGAAGAGAAACCAACCAGTGGGAGACAAACCATATGTGCTTGCTATTAACTTCCACCACAAAAAGTCTCTCCTCCCCAAACCTCTGCAACCGTTTGCGAAGGAGAGATTTGTTCGTTATGCGCAGCTTCCTTGAACCCAGGCCGCCAGTTGATATAGATTCAAACACTTTATTCCAAGCCACTAAATGAAATTTCTTCTCACCATTTTGACCTTCCCAAAGGAAGCCCTGCGGAGCTTCTCCAAAATGTTGGCCACCGAGGAGGGGATGCAAAATAAAGACATGTAATAAATGGGCAGGTTTGAGAACGCACTTTGAATTAGAACAAGTTTTTCACCTTTTGAAAGGTTGGAACTTTTCCAGCCTGCTAGCTTCCTGCAGAATCTCTCGATGACAGGACCCCATATAGCAGAGGAATTATATTGTGCACCCAAGGGCAAGCCTAGGCATTTAGTAGGGAGGGAACCAACTTTACAGCCCAGGGCCCTTGCCAATTCGGCTATTTGTGGGACTTCACCAATTGGGATAAGCTGGCTCTTTTGCAACTTTATCTTCAGCCCCTAAGCAGCTTCAAAGCAAATGAGAACACAACTTAAAAAAAGTCTTTGTGGCTTGCTCTTGAGAAAACGATAGCATCATCAGCAAATTGCATCAACGGGACTTGAGGTGCTTCCAGGCTTACCTGAAAACYGTCCAAATACCAACCATCCATTGTCTTTCTAATCAGCCTTCCAAGAGGTTCAACAATCAAAATAAAAAGGAAGGGAGGCAAAGGTTCTCCTTGCCTTAGACCCTTCATCAAGTCTATATCAAACCAAAATTCATATTTCTTGCATACTTCAGAATTAGAAGAAACTTCAACATATGTTGATATCACTCTCTTCAATTCAATGCATACAACCTCAAATTTCAGATCCTCTTCATGTCTCTGAAATTCCTTACCTATCATCTTGCCAATCTCAGCAAGAGAGGACTGAAGGCTGCTGCTCCTTAGACAAAAACAATGCAGAGAACTCAGATCCTGAAGCATGCTTTGGAAATAATGGGTAGCTCCACTGATAGAACATCAGAATCCTTAACTGAATTATGTTCTCCTATATATTCAAGTTTATCATTATAAGAACAAAATATGTGTTTGAGCATAGTTTTCAAGGCGCCAAGGCAAGGCTAGGTGACAGGGGGGCGCCTTGTCGCCTAGTCGGGCACCTAGGCGATGGATTTTTTGTAAGTAAAAATCACATATCCTAGGGTAGTTCCCTAGGTTCCATATCCAACTTTCTTTAATAACTATTCATGATTTTCATAAGAAAATTATAAACTTCATGTTTAAGTCTAGAAAATCAACATATATATGAGAAGAAAAAGAAGAAAGGAAAGAAAATTCAAAAAATAAAGAAAATCCAACTTTCTTTAATAACTATTAACAATTATGTTTCTTATGATGCCCTTTCACCATCCTACTTTACCTACATCTCTGCTATTTCTTCAGTGTCCATTCCTCGTAGTGTTACAGAGGCAATACAATCACTTCAGT